TCAGAACCCACGAACCTCACAAGTGGAGAAAGAAAAATGGTGCAGATACCTGGAACACCTGTGTCAGTTCTCAAAAAGTTAACCATGTGACAAGTGACCATACAAGCCAGCAATTCCAGATCTCAGTACAGCCCAAAAAAGAAATGAAAACATGACCACACTACAACTCTACCAAAATGTTCACATCACTGCTGCTTTAAAGTCATTCAATGGAGTCCCCAAATCTATGGCCTTGGTTTCAAACTTGTAAGTATATGAGCCACTCACTGGGGAGCTGGGAAATTCAAATTCCTCAGCCTCATCCCTAGAGATTTAGATTCAATGGGTGTGTTCTATACTTTGAAAAATACTGACCCCAAGTTCTTAACCTCGTGTTTTCAGTCATATCAGAATCTGGCTGTCTCACCAGCCTTACCTCTGGCCACACCTTTACTTGTGCCTTACCCTGTAGCTCAGGGAGTGGTAAGCTAGTGCCCTGCTGGCAAGTCAAATACAGCCTCCTGCCTGTTTGTGTAAATAAAGTTTTACTGGAACACAGCCATGCCCATTCACTATGTTCTGCCTCTGGTTTCTTTCATGATACAACTAATAACTGCGAGAGATATCCAATGACCTGTAAATGCTTACTGTGTGCTCTGTAGGGAGAGTGTGCTGATCCTGCTCTAGCTGTACAAAAATACTTTCCTGTGCAGTTTGCACAGGCTACCGCACGCATCCTGGTTTGGGGAGCTTCTTTCTTACATACTCACTACTACTCTGTGAGCCATGTCTGACATACCCTAACCGTCAGGCCTCCGTTCTTTGGGCTCCACAGCACCTTGCTTCTTCTGCCCTCATTTCTTCCCTCACTGTGGTATAATATAACTGCTTTTGTTTACCTGCCTCGCCAGTAGAAAGGAAAAGCTGAGAACACTTTTAGTATCTCCACTGCCTGCTATATATTAGGTGGTTGACAAATAATTGATGAATTAATGAATAAGAAACTTTTCTGAAAACCTTAGCAAAGCCTTCTGAATAAGGTTAGGAAACCTTGATTTCACCAGGTTTCCACAGTATTAAAATCACGCTCTGGTTTCTAAATTATGAGTGGAGGGACCCAAATTGAAATGGCTGTGTGATGTGGGAAGAAAAGAAGCACTGATGTCTTCTACCGTCACAGGTCTGCTCACTCACAGGTCTGCTCAGTAGAGAGCTGGCTTTTCTGTTGTGGTTTTGTGGAAGGTGTTAATGCAGGTGGAGGACAGGACAAGCAAGAAATGCCTGGGCGAAGTGGCAATGCCCAGAAGGGAAGCTCCAATTGCAGCAGGGGATGACCTAAGGGCTAGTGGAGGGACTTCAGGGGGCCAAATGACAGGTCTGAGAATGTCCCAGATTTTGTGACCAAGTTAAAATATTTGTAAGAACCAGTACCTACTTAGAACAACCAAAGAGAGAAGACCTTGAGGACGGGTGAGGGGTGAGGAACTACGGAAACCTCATTCCCAGATAATCATGTGTAGCGCAAGGTGAGAAGGAAGTATGGAGGGCAACAGTGGCCCACGTGAGCATTTGTGCCCAGTAGCCGGGCACTACTCACTAGTCCCTCAGTGGAACTTGATACCTTCAACTCTCAGACTGGGCAATTCACCAGCTTAGAGGCTAGCAGAAACACATCTGATTTAGAACATTTCAATTTATTCATTCGATAAACACAGAAGTCAAAAATAAAGTGCTGGGGATGCAGGTTGGTGGTACAGCACTTGCCCAGCATGCGCGAGGCGCTGTGCTCACCCCCCCCCACTACAAAGAAAGGTCAAAAGTAACATAAAAGAAGAATCTTCTGTGTGTGATCAAAGCCTCTGAAAAGAACACATATTTATTTTCTTTTTAATTGAATGCACCAGGTCAAGAGGCTTTCAAGACAGCCATGGTGGCCACACCTGTACATGGGAGGCTGAGGCCAGCCCGGGCCTGTCTCAAACAACAAAACAGCCCCCTCCCCCATACACACAGAGGCTTTCATAGAAACAAGTACTTTTTTCTAGTGGCGGACATGCAGAAGGGCTTGGAAAGTGACCTTTCTCACACAATTTAACAGTCAAGGGCAGAGCTTAAGTTCATTTTATGTCCCATCCTGCATCCCTATCCTATCTAGAGTACAGTAAGTGCAAATATATATGTCACTTAATGACTAAACAAAGGTCTTCGGTACCGACTGTACTACGTGAACAGCCCACAGAGGTCACTGACATGTCATATAATAGCAATGTTTTGAGTGCTAACTATGTGAGACCGCACACAGTGCTTTATGTGCGTCACCTGTAATCCTCAGGAGAGCCTGCAAAGAAGGGATTGTCCTCATTTAAAAGATAAGGAAGTGGCCCTGGGCACAGGGGCTCAAGCCTGTAATCCCAGCTGCTTGGGAGGTGGAGATCAAAAGAATCACTGTTTAAGGCCAGCCAGGCAAAAAGTTTGCCAAACCCCGTCTCAACCAATGGCAGGGTATGGGGGCACATGCTGTCATTCCAGCTATGTGGAGAACCTTAAATAGGAGGATCATGGTTCTGCCTGTTGGGCATAAAGAGAGACCCTATCTCAAAAATAACCAAGACAAAAAGGGCTGGGGGTGTGGCTCAAGTGGTAGAGTGCCTCCCTACCAAGTGTAAGGCCCTGAGTTCAAAAAGTAAAAAAAAAAAAAAAAAGTAAAGAAGTGGAAGCTCGGAAATGTTACATAACTAAGGTTTTTTTCCTTCCCAACCTGTCCAGTAGGACATCTCTGATGGGTCAGTGCTGGACTCACAGCTTAGCACTTTCCCAGCCCCACCTTTAGATGCCCAATCTATCTCTTGCTCCATTCTTCCATCTTCTCTTTTATGTCTGCTCTGGTTTGTTCAGCTGCAGCACTGATTAATAAAGCCCAGGTCCATCGCACAATCTCCTTAACATCACTCTGTTCCAATTAATCACTACTAACTAGTATTTTATGTATGAGGCACATTACCAGATGAAATTTTATGCTTCCCCCCACACTATGGCCTGCTAGTTTTAGAAATAACCCCTATGTAATCTTACAGGTAAGTAAAATAACCCCAAATCCTGTGCACGTTTCTTGATCTTATTTGAGATTACAAAAGTTTTAAGAAAGCTGATACATGCTTCACAGGTTTAAAATGAATACAACTGAAAATTTGCTAGAATATACTGTAAGAGCTGGCATGGTGGCTCACACCAATAACCGAGCTACTTGGGAGGCAGAGATCAGGAGGATCTTGACTCAGGGTCAGTCCAGGGCAAACTGGTACCAAGCAAGATCCCAGCACAACCAATAGCTGCTTGTGCCTCTGATCCCAGCTAATGGGAGGCTGTAGCTAAGAGGTTCAAAGTTCAAGGCTGGTTCTAGACAAAAATAGGAGACTTTAGCAAAAAATGGCTGGGTTGTAACTCAAGTGGTGGAGTGCCTGCCTAGCAAGTGCAAAGCCCTGAGTTCAAACCTTAGAGTCCTGAGTTAAGACAAATAAAAAACAACCTGGTCTTTCAGCATCCTTGAACAGCTATAACATTCCTATTTTTGGGGTGGGGGAAGATGATGGATACAGTATTCAGACTTAATTTCAAAGTTAATACTGAAAGATCAAGGTAGCAAAGCCTTTATGTTACATTATTCTTATAGCTTATACATAAGCTTTCAGACCTCCCCCTAATGTCTTGGAAATGCCACTTCCTATTAGGAGGGCTTGTCACTTCACAAGCAATTCGTTCCTCTGGCTATGTCCCTATTCCAGAGTACTGGGGGTGGGGGAGGGCTTTCTCTTCTGTCACTTCTCACAGTCTTCTGCACCAAGGGGAAAAGGAGTTGAGTGAAAACAAGCAGCACAGAGAAGGTTGATTTTTTTTTTCTTTTATCCCTCTGAGGATGTGTGGGAAAAAAAACCTGGCAGCAGCAAAATTTTACTGGTTAGGTGGAGAGAAAAGGGCACCCAAAAGAAAAAGCTATCCCAAAGAGTATGCCAGATCGTGGAAACAGGCAGAGACTGATTTCCACTTTGAAAATTGGCAACTCTTTTGGGGGGCGTTAGTATTAGTACTGGGGTTTGAACTCAGGGCCTCAAACTTGCTAGGCAGGCGCTCTATCGCTTGCGTCACAGCCTTTGGCTTTAGTTATTTTCTAGGTAGGATTTCCCATCTTTTCCCAGGGTGGCCTCAGACAGTGGTCCTAGTACCTTGCCTTCTGTATAGCTGGGATGACAGGCACGCACCACCAACTGGTTGAAATGGGGTTTCGCTAACTTTTTGCTTGAGATAGCCTCAAACCACGATCCTCCAGATCGCTACCTCCCGAATAGCAGTGAGCCACCATGCCAGGCAAAAATTGGGAAATTTAAAAAATTTGATTTAAGGTTAAAAAAAATGCTCAATTCCTAAACATCAATAACTGTCCCTATCTGTGAAATATTACCAACCAGTAATGCGGGCAGGTAAAAAGACAGAAAGGTTATCGATAGCTCAGCTATATGAATTAACCAATAATGAACGCTCCTATTAGCTTCACATCATAAAGATAAGTGCATTGGATAGAAGCAGCGGGACAGCGGTGGACATCAGGTAGATTAATAGGAAATTCACCGCTTTTCTAGGGGAAGGTTTTCTAGAGGTCAGCTTGCAGACTCTGGCCGAATAGCTCCTGGCTGGAGCTCAGCAGTCCTCCAGCCAGGCACAGGGAAGTGGCTCGGGGCGCGAACTGATGCTATGAATGGGGTGCTGAGAAGCAGGCAGGCCGGGTTCAGGGTGCGCTAGTGAAGGTCGGCAGAGGGGGCGGTGCGGGGAGGAAAAGCAAGGCCGTTTCTTCACTTCTGTCGCCTCAGTCCCGGGAAAAGCCGGCCATCCGGCTGCCGTGGGGATGAAGAGTCCCCGGGCTCCCGGCTGACGCCACCGGCACTAACAGCGGGGCGCGGGAGTCCCCCGCAGGTGTTGCGAGCTGCGGAGATCCTGGAGCCGAGGCTCGGCGGCGGGGTGGCACTTACCTTACTGTCATCCATCTCTGCAGACGGGCCGGCCTGGCCAGGCGCGCCCTCCCGGGCCCGGCCCCCGCCCCGGGGAAGAAGGGGATATGGTTCTGCTCGCCTCCGCCTCTCGCCTAACAACCGCTTCTCTGAAGCCACAGCCACCGGGACCAGCTCAGGAATGGCAAAGCGGGCCCTGGGGGCGGGCCAAAACGCCTCCCTGCGCCGCCGCCGCCGCCACCGCCCCCTCCATGACAGTCTAGGGTGTATTTACAGACGCGCTGGAGACGGGCCGAGGCCGAGGAACTGGAGAGCGCGCCGCACGCGGATTGGCCGCTTCGGCTGCTGTGGCCCCGCAGCATTTTGGGAGTTATAGTTTTCATTCCCTCAGTCTCTACGGAGTCTACTGCACAGAGAACTACAACGTCCAGGGGCGACTTGTTTCCTGGGGAGGGGGCCGCAAGCACCTGAGGCGGGGCCTGGCGACAGCGAAACTACGTTTCCCACAATGCACTGCTGCTTGACGTTTTGGCCCCGGAGCGCCCGAGGCCTGGCGGGAAAGGGACTTCGGGCCTTGGGAGTAGGCCGCCACTGGGACGCTGGGGAAACGCTAAATGAATGCCCCTTCCCTGTTTATTTTAAAAATAAAAATGAAAAATGGAGCAGCTGCTTTGGTTAAGATTTTGGCAGTTCCCAAGAACATTAAACAGAATTACTATATAACCACTCTGAGGTATACACCCAAGAGAATTGAAAATGTGTGACTACACAAGGCTTGTGCAACCTGTTTTCTCCCAGCAGCATGATTCATAAGTAAAAAAGTGAAAACGACCCAGCTGTCCATCAATGGACGAGTGGAGAAACCACGTGTGAACTATTACATAGAAAGGAATATTATTTGGCAATAAAAAAGAATAAAGCCAGGTGTGGTGGCATTTCCAGCCTTCTAGGAGGATGGAGCAGGAGGACTGACGGGTTCCAAGTCAGCCTGGGCCACAAAGAGAGACCCTGTATCAAAAAAAAAAAAAAAAAGTTCATTGATGTCACCTCTGAAAACCTTTGGGATCACAACTTTAGAAGGACTCCCAGTTACATTTGTATGTCAAGTAAACAATAACGATCTTTTTAGTGTATCACACCCCCATATTCTAGATATGCTTTTATATTAAAAATTCTTTGTTGTTCATCCAAAAGTCAAATGTAACTCGTTTTTGTTTGTTTGTTTGGTTTTTGAGGGTTTTTTGGCAACTCTAAATCAGGAGTAATGCCAGGAAGGCTGTAGAGTCTCTGTCAGATCTATATGAGGCTTTGCGGGAACTAAGGAAGGTTGGAGCCTCTTCGTGATGGGGTTGGAAACAGGGCAGGCCCAGCCCAGGCCACCTGTAACCTGTGGTCAAACAGTGAGAGATGCCTGGCCTGGCCCTTCTGCCCTCCAGTGGGGCAAAGCGTGCCTCCTCCTCCTGGTTCCATGGCTTCAGTCTGCATTTCAAGCCAGGCCTTTGCCACTGCTAAGCCCTCTTCTTCACCGGGAAGCCAACTTTTTTCCGGTTTGTGCTCTGCCTCTCTCACCTCCTGCACCCCAGCTGCCCTAAAGACAGCTCCCAGGCCTGAAAATGGCTTGTCTGTCCTGTCCTACCTCAGGAGGTGCAGGGGTGGCCACACTTGATGTGTACGAGCAGCTGTCGGGCCCAGCTTGCAGCACTCAAGAGAGAGGAGGAAGGCCTCTGAGCCTCACAGTGAACCCTAAAACCACTCAGGGAATGTGTGTGCCAGCCCCAGGACAGTGGGTGTCTCTAGGGAAGGAAGGAAAGGAGTGGATGTGGAGGCCTTTGGTGGATTCTGTACTTACCTTTTAAAGAGATACAATAACCGTGTCCCACCTGGTGACAGGAGATATGGAGTGTATGTCCTTTTCTTTTGTTTAAGTCTCTGTACATTTGAAATTTTACACAGTAAGATTTAAAAATTTTTTAAAAAACCTATAAGCAAATCTACTTTATTTTTAATTTGGTTTTTGGAGGTACTAGGGTTTGAATGCAGAACCTCATGCTTGCTAGGCAGGTGCTCTCCCACTTAAGCCACTCTACCAGCTCTAAAACTACTTACTTTAAAAAGTTGAGGAATAAGCAGGGTGCAGTGGCTCATAGAATCTCAGCTACTTGGGAGGCAGAGACTAGGAGGATAAATGTGTGAGACCAGCCTGAGCAAAAACTTTGGAAGACCCCATCTCAGCCAATAAGCCAGGCATGGTTGTGTGTGCCTGTTATCCCAGCTACGCAGGAGATGTAAATAGGAGGATGGAGGTCCAGGCCTGCAAAAACAAGAATGTGAGACTCTGTTTGAAAAATAACTAAAGCAAAAAGGCCTGGTGGAATGGCTCAAGAATTAAAGCACCTGCCTAGTAAGCATAAGTCCCTGAGTTCAAAGCCCAGTACTGCCAAAAATTTTTTTTTTTAATTTACAGTAATAAATCCTGGGCTGGGGTGTAGCTCAGTGGTAGAGCACGTGCTTAGCATGCAGGAGCTCTTGGTTCCACCCCTAGCACCACAACTTGAAAAAAAGAGTCCTAATCATGAAAAGACTTAGGAAAGGGAAGAAAAGCTTGCAAAGAAGCAGTGAACAGTCAGATGGCGGAATTTGCTGAGAAGTGATGAGGAAGAGGCTAAGAGAGATCTAGAGGTCATGCTAACTTCTGTGAGTATAAATCCTCAAGCTCTCTGAAATCTGGGAAGGGGACATACAGCCACCAGGCTAAGGCCAGTCACTCAGTACACCAGGCAGCTGATGTAAAACAACGTGGATGAATTTAACAGCCTGTGCTGAGAAGTTAGAGTCACAAGGCTGGTTACTGCAGGCAGGGACAGTCACACATCAGACAAACTGGGGCGAAGATAAGGCAGACACAGTAACACATTTGGGTTTTCAAAGAGGCTGAAGGGGACATTTAGAGCCATGGCCCTGCAGATCCCAGCCACGCTCTGTCTCCACCCTTCTCAGTCTTTCTCTGTTGTCACACACAGTTCACACACTGCAGTCACCCACACAGTCACTGTTGGCCTGCCACACATCCAGCCTCACTGCTGCCAAGGTGTTTCTTGTGGTGACATCCTCGCAGCGTGGCATGCACCCTCTGCCACTCAGTCTCTGAGTCCCTCATATCCTCCCCTCTCTCTCCGTCTCTGCTCCTCTCTGTCCCTTGCCGCTCACCTAGATGCTGGGTAAAAGGATGTGGTGTCTAAGCAGAGCCAAGCCTATGGGATCGTGTTATTCTGAACATCAGAGACAAAGGCCACGCACTCATCACAACGTTAACTTTGACTCACAGGAGTCTGGAATTTTAAAAATCACCCTGCCCTTCCCAAACTTCCACAGAAGTAGAAATTGGTGATGAAATTCTAGCATGGAACTTTTGACTAAACCCATCCCATCCCCAATACAATCCAGAAATATCAATTTTTTTAATATCTATCAAGAAGCAGACAAAGATGGCCATCAAATCTAGCATACTAACTTCTTTTTCTTCTTCTGACATTTATTATATAGCCCTCATTTATTTTTTGTGGGACTGGGGTTTGATTTTTTTTTTTTTTTAATCTTTGGCAGTACTGGGGTTTGAACTCAGGGCCTCACACTTGATATAGACAGGCGCTCTACCACTTGAGCCACTCCACCAGCCCTGTTTTGCGTTGGGTATTATCAAGATAGGGTCTCGTGAACTATATGCCGGGGCTGAGTTTGAACCTCAATCCTTCTGATCTCTGTCTCCCAAGCAGCTAGGATTATAGGTGTGAGTCACTGTTGCTCAGCTGCACTGGGGTCTGAACTCACAAAGCAGGTGCTCCTCCACCAGAGCCACACCTTCAGTCTGCTAACTTCTCTGTGGCAGCACTGAGATTCAAACTCAGGGCCTTGGACTTGCCAGGCAGGTGTTTCAGCACTGGATCCCCAGTCCAGACTCTATTTGCTTTAGTTATTTTTCCAAATGGGGTCTTGCACTTTTGCCCAGGGATAGCTTTGAACCTCAATTGTCCTGCCATCTGCTTCTAGAATAGTTGGGATTATAGGCATAACCACACCCCGTGGCCCATCATGCTAACTAATTTCTGTACCACCTTTCCATACATCCTAAACGTGGGGAAGAAACTATCCCAAGATCATCCCAGAAATGACCATTCATTATTTCTCTGTCCCTGACTTGCCTTTTCAAGGAGTCAATCGTCTGTACTGTGTGATGATAAAGCAAGCAGGGTTTGCACAGTGGATTGTTCAAATCACGAAAGAGAGGACAAAGAAAAGTAGGAAAACCATTCAAAGAGAAAAGCAAGAAATGACCCAAGCCTTGTATGCACATATGAATAATAAAAGAAAAAAAAAAAGCACTGGTGAAGGAAGGTAGGGGGTGGCATACAATTAAGAGAGGCGGGCAGGGGACAAACATTAACCTTATAACAGAAGCCACAAGGGAGTCCAGAGAACAGTACCATATTCTGCGCTCAGGAATGCCAGGGCCACATTGAGATGCAAATCTGACCCTGGAACAACAGGGCTTTATTGCTGCCACTCTGCTTCTGCACAGAGGTGCCAGGACACGTGGGTGGTCATGTGAAATTCATGAAATGCCCGGTGTGGACCCACCATCAAGGGCTCCTCTTAGGATCTGTGCACAGGTTGGTTTTTCCCCAATTTCTTTTAGAGATAAGTATTCCTCTTTCCTTTCCCTTTCCTGGAAGTTGGGCTTATTTTCAGCGACACTTTAACATACACCATCTCACAAGTGTGTCTGTGTCCTAAAAGGCATTTGGCCACGTGCCCCCGTCCCTTTGGCCCACACGGACAAATATGCCTACACACGCACCCAGCCCAGCACCTACTTAGTCTCTGCATGGGGAGAATCAGCTGAAGCGGGTTTGCAGAGGGAACAGAACAAGGAGTAAAATAAATGCACCCAGCCAAGACATCTGTGGACAGGAAAGGGGAAGGAGACCCGGTCAACACAGAAACAAGGAAGAGAAAATGAAACTCCAGGAAAACGAACACCTTCCAAGTTCAAACTCTCCCTCTCCTCCTCCTTTTCCTCCTCCTCTCCAACAAACTAAAATTCAACAATGGCTGTTTCATACTGTTCTTTTCTATTTCAAATACTGCTACTCCAAAGCCATATTTTACCCAGTGGGGAAGAATAAGATGTCCCCTTCTCTAAAGAAATAATAG